TTTTTGTAAGAAAAATATCCATATTTCAAACGTAATAAACACTTTTCTCTCACTTCCGGTATCTGTCATACGCGGAAGCCGTTCCGGCAGATGACGCAGCACGCTGGCGTTGCTTGATTAGTGACGAATGCGAAGAGACAACAAAACAAAACGCCGGTCATGAATTAGAAGTACAAACAGAGGATTTGCAAAGAAAAATGTCGGAGGATTTCGATATAAGCAAAGAGGAGACTGGTTTTCCTTTGCTAAAGTAAGGAAACTTTGCTTCCTTTGCTCCTATAAACAAACTCGCGGCACTAGCATATCTCAGAGGCGCGTGTGCTGCGCATACGTGCTGCGTCATCCGCCAGAACAGTTTCCGCGTACAGATACCGGAAGTGAGAGAAAAGTGTTTATTACGTTTGAAATATGGATATTTTTCTTACAAAAAAACGCATGGATTCACTACAGAAGGCCTTTATTCACCCCCTGGAGCCGTGTGAAGCACATTTTATTATGAATGCACGTGCTTTATTTGCGCTTTATGGATATTTTTCTTACAAAAATGCATGGATTCACTACAGGAGGCCTTTATTCACCCCCCAGAGCCGTCTGTGGCACGTTTTATTATGGATGTGCGTGCTTTATTTGACGACTTGTGGACTGTTCAACTGCAACACCCGCTGACTGCAATGATAGCCAGGACAATTTTTAATATAACTCCGACTGGATTCGTCTGAAAGAAGAAAGTCATATACACCTAGGATGCTTCGAGGGTGAGTAAAACACAAGCTAATTTTAATTTTTGGGTGAACTAACCCTTTAATGTAAAAGTCTGTGAAAGTGATTTTGTGCCTCTTTGGGATGGCACTATAATGCGCTGTTCACTTGCAGAACGCAAGCTTCTAGAGGCACATAAGTCTGAAGTAATGAATTTAGGTAAAGGGGTGCAGAGCCAGTGGTGGTTTTGTAGGCAAACATTAATGCCTTGAATTTTATGCGAGCAGCTATTGGTAGCAAGTGCAAACTGATAAACAGAGGTGTGACGTGCATTCTTTTCGGCTCATTAAAAATGAATCATAGAGGTAAACTACTTTTTCCATCAGCGACCTTGATTGTACACACATTTATTAAATTATATGATAATGTAAAATGTCTGTCGATATTTATGATGTGCGGGACTGTGACGAGTGGGGTGGGGCCGAGAGCCGTGGGAGCGGAGTGAGGCCGGTGGAGTAAATGATAATGAGCGACACCTGCCTCGCTCCGCTCCCACGGCTCTCGGCCCTGCACCACTCGTCACAGGGACCAATTAAATTTTGTCTTCATAACCCTTTTAATAAAAGTAACAACCTTGTTTTTGCCTGCAAACTGTTAAGTCTTCCACAGACTCCATATTCAACAGCTTGTTTGCTGTAAGTGTGTGGGTGCCAGTTTTTTGGCATATTGCAGGCTTTTTGTGACCTGATGGGAAGTGTAAAAGTGGCTCAGATAAAGTTTTCTTCACGGCTAACTGCAGAAAACATTTTATTTGCATGAGCCTGTTGAAAATGACTGGTATTGTTAGCCTAGCTGCTCCTGACCTATTACTCCTGTGCCCCTCTCCGCAGTTGATGAAGATGGGATGGACTGCATGGACAACGAGCGACGGCCACACTTCCCCCAGTTCTCCTACTCCGCCAGCGGGAGAGAGTGAGCGCCACGCAGCCGACACTGCCTCATCCTCATCAAGGTTCCCACTGGAACAAATTTTGGTCAGGCCCGGCCCTTTTGACCCTCCATCGTCCATCTTGGTTCTTTAATTTGTTTAGCTAGACCAAGGGAAACTTCTGATTTAGGGTGACGGGAATTTGCACGTCGGGTCGAACCGAGGTCCAGCCCGCTCAAACATCTTTACAGCTCCAGCCCAAAGGTTGGGTCATGATGGGAGAACTTTTGCTGTTTGTTAGGAGTCTTTATTGTGTTTCTCTCTTTGATTTGAGACATTGCTCCACATTCCTGATTCATTGGGAACTAGTATCAAGGTGTTTGACACATCCATTTAGTTCAGAAAAATACATACAACTGCATGGCTAGAGATTCACATGGGTTTTGCAATTCCAGGTACATGTGATATAACTACTCAAAACCGCTCCAGTCTCAGCTGCTTCTGTTGTTACTGTTTTTAAGGTTCACCTTCTGTTATATAAAGTCAAAACTGCCATAAATGGTTTACTCAGGCTTCACAGAGGACATCTGTGTTCAGGACTAGCTTTACCCCTCACTGTTCCGTAACTCAGTATTCCTCCGTACAAAGCCCTGTGGACCTGAGCTATGCAGCGCTAAACCCTCTCTAAAACTGCCCGTTAGAAATGCTCACTCAAATGTATTCACCAAAGGCTTTATTTCTTACATATCATCCCCTAAAAGCATTGTCCCAGTGTTTGATGGAAAAAATGGCACGTTTGACTGATGTGGAATGTTTTATGCACCGATACACAGCTGTGACGTACAGTTGATGATCAGACTAAATTCCCCCAAAGCCCAAACTGTTTTAAGAGCAGTTGTGAGAAAGCCTTTCAACTCAATGCTCAATAGTGCAATCAGTGTAACAACGACAACAACAAAGCCAGCATTAATGGAAAGAACGACAGGAAGCACTATTTTTTGTTTTATAAGAAAATAAGTAATTAAAAAAGAAAATGTATTTAAGCAAAGTTAATTTATTTTTGTCTTTTTGTTTGTTTGTCCTTGCGTTTATTAAGAGTGCTTTCTGAGTCTCCTTTTTTGAATGAAATAAATGCACCTAAAAAGGCTTACGAATGTAGATGGGTCACTGCAAAGGCCTTCATTTGTTTTTTAATTGTTTTCCCTGAACCGTTTTCTCTTCACACCAGTGTAGTGTTGTTCTGTTTTATTTCCCCACATGAGTTTGACTGTCCTCTTGAACATTGTGAGCAGTCTGAGTGATGTTGAAATGTGTTGCTCGTCTTTCCACCAATGAAAGGGCTGTAAAAGACCATACTGATTCATTCAGATGGGTTACTGTATGTTACAGTCTGTAACAGAGCAGGACACGCACTCCATTGTGCTTTGCTTGACCTTTTAATGAGCATTTAAACATGACACTGCACATTCTCGTTGTTTCGAGGCAGGACTGTGAACAAGGAATAATTTTGCATGAATGCAGATATTGATAAGTCAGATGCTATTTTCAAACAGTTTTGAGTGCTAATGTGCTTCGCTACATCTAATATCATGTTCACTTTCCTTCCCGAAATACAGTAGTCCACAAATCAAATCCATCCATCACAGACTCGTACGCCAATCAGATATTAGCATAAAAATCCTTGTATATATGATTTATGAGCATAAAATGTTTTGGTTGCAGACCAGTTATGATTTACTTGGATGAAGCTTGTTAAGATAGTTGAAAAAACCTGGTGAGTGATGAATGAGTTGAGATGGGCCGTGTTCTTTAAATGGTATCAGAGAGAAATATCTGGATTATTGAGTAATAATTTGATATATGCAGTACATTTCCTGATAGTGTTTGGCAATAAAACCTGCTGTCTGTGTGGTGTTTGTTTTGTGTGAGTGTAAAGATGGCTCTTGTGCATGTTGCTGTTGCGTTTACTGTGTCAGTTTAATTTGGGCAGGAATGGCAAAATCTTTCATTTCTATCTGGTTTGGCACTTTTTGGGGAAATTTGGCCAAGTGCAGCCCAGGTATGAGGTTGGGGTGAGAATATTCATATTGAAGTGGGACATTAGTGAAGAGGGAAGTGATACACGAGGAAGGAGTGAGTTTGGGTGGTGTGTATATGAAATGTGACGTAGAACAAGGTCTGTTGGAGTTGGGCGTCTGAACTGAGGTTTCTTGCATGTTTGTTAAGGACTGGCATGGATTTGATGACGACTGGTTAAGGATGATTCAGAAAGTTTCTGTTCAAATCCCTCACGCCAAACTGAGCTTTCCGCCAGAATGCCTGCATTGATGAGCATTGTGAATTGTCCAATGGTGTAATGTGAGATGCTGTAGCATGGTACTGTTGCTCTATTGCCTACTGATTACTGATTTCAGTCGAGCTTGAGGATGTTCTTGCATTCAAACTGTGATGTCCAACCCAATAATGTTTTCTGACCGCACAGCGGTGGTACTGTGGGAAAATTCGCCGTTTGTGTCAGTCTTCCAACTTACACGTTTGTCTTTTTCCTCATTCCTTTTTCTTGTTTTATTTATTTATTGTTTTTGAGAGGAAGAAAAAAAAAGTTAAAGAACTACCTGATTTAATTGAATGGGCTTTTTAGACTGCTGACCATTTAGTTTTTTTGGTGTTCAATTCTGTTTGTTTTGTTACTTTTTTTTATTTAACAATGAATAATGAATTTTTTTTCAACTATTTGTGTCTTGTTTTACATTTTCTGGTTAGGTAACATTCATTTTGAAGCACTCATTTTGTATTTTTTGCTCCTTTGTTTTTGCTTTTTCTTTTTCACTTCAGATTTGTGATCGTACAGATTGTACTCAGTAGGATTATTCAATCATACTGTGATGCTGTTCGACCATTCCATTAACTTTAATATGCACTTGTGAGGGACCAAAGGGTTTTCCTCAAGACATGGAGAGGCAGAGAATGGTGATGTTCAGTGGAGCGGTATCTTGCATGTGAAAGATGTTTGTTGGTAATACATCATTTAAACAGCGGAAGGACCTTTGGCTTTGGCCAAATCAGTCATACACTTTTGTAACTCCATATTTTAACACTTGGCTTTGTATCTGCCTGTAGTAGCACTTTCATACCCATTGCTCTTTTTATATAGCTCAGCATAAGAAAAAAAAAGGTCCCTGCTTTGGGAAAAACAAAACAAACAAAAAAAGAATAAAGAAAAATAAAACGAGAGGAAAAAAGAAGAAAATACTTGAAAGCACAGATTCGCCCCTCATGCTACAGTACTTTCCTGAGTGATTGTGCTCTGTAATATGTAACGGTGTGGATGTGGATAGACCTGAAATGCTGCCAGGAGACACAGACAGACTAACATTTCCCAAGATTCCCAAATGCTCTAGTGTTGTAGAAAAGTTCACCACTTCAAGAGTTTCAGAGGACAATAAAGACACACGTAAGCCCAACCTGAAGTCATTATTCCCTGAATACTGAACTAGTGTGAGGAAGGGACCCATGGAGACATGGGCGGCACGGGCTTCATCCCTCCTAAGCGCACATCTGTGTGCACACTGCTGCTACTGTTTGTACTGTCTACAACAGACTTTCTCTATATTGCGCTCCTGGTAGTGTATTATGAATGAGCATGAATTGTAAAGTATTTATTTAAAAACAAAAAAAGACAAAGAAAAAAAAAAACATTTTATGTCCATGTAGCTTTAGAGTTTGTGACATTTCTTGACCTTGCTAGCTCTGTCATTAGATCCATGTTAAGAACTAGTCATGTGGTTAAGAATTTTACATGGAAGGGATTAACAGAAAAATATATATAAAAAGAACTGTATTACCATCAATCATAAAAAAAATGTAAAAAAGTTTATTTCCTTGAATACAGTATAGGGCCTACGCAGATGCGGAAAGCTTATCTGCAAGAAACAGTTTTTGTACACGTACATCCTAGTATTTTTACACGTAACTGTATATGATAGGGATGCACATTATTTTCCTTCTTACAGACTGCTTAAATAAAGCACTACGTCAATCTGCTGTGGCCTGAGTCGTGTCTCTTTGACTTGCTCCAGACAAAACATTTATGATTAATCATAGCACACCTCAGAATCTATATAATAAAATTTATAATTGTAAATAATTCTCATTTTATATGATTTACTCATTTATTTTTTGTGTTTTTTTTATGACTGATATATATATACACTACCGTTCAAAAGTTTGGGATCAGAACGATTTTTAATGTTTTTTAAAGGAGTTTCTTATGCTCATTAAAGTTTATTTGATCAAAAATACAGGGAAAAATGTAATATTGTGAAATATTATTATGATGTAAAATAACATTTTTCTATTTTAATATACATTAAAATCTAATTAACCTGTGATGCAAAGCTGAATTTTCAGCAGTCATTGCTGCAGTCTTCAGTGTCACATGATCCTTCAGAAATCATTCTATGCTGATTTATTATCAGTGCTGGAAACTTGTGCTGCTTAATATTTTTTGGAACCTGTGATACTTTTTTTTTCAGAATAAAAAGTTAAAAAGCAGCGCATTTATTTAAAATATAAATATTTTCTAACAATATACACTACAGTTCAAAAGTTTGGGGTCAGTAAATTTGTATTCTTTCTGTTTTTGAAAGAAATTAAAACTTTTATTCAGCAAGGATGTTAAAGCAAAGATTTATATTGTTAGAAAAGATTTATATTTTGAATAAATGCTGTTCTTTTTAACTTTTTATTCATCAAAGAATCCTGAAAAAAGTATCGCAGTTTCCAAAAAAATATTTGGCAGCACAAGTGTTGCCAACATTGATAATTCTAATAATAAATCAGCATATTAGAATGATTTCTGAAGGATCATGTGACACTTTATACTGGAGTAATGGCTGATGGAAATTCAGCTTTGCATCACAGAAATACATTATATTTTAAAGGATATTAAAATAGAAACCATTATTTTATATTGTAATAACATTTTGCAAGATTACTGTTTTTTTCTGTATTTTTGATCAAATAAATGCAGCCTTGACGAGCATAAGAGACTTCTTTAAAAAACATTACATGTCTTACTGATCCCAAACTTTTGAGCGGTAGTGTATATATATATATATCCACCTTATTTTTCAACGCAGAAGGAAGCTGTTTTCTGTGAATGTGAAAGACTTCCGGTTCATTAGCCGCTGTAGGGAAATAGCGAGAAGAATAACAAAGTGCAGTAAACGTTTAACTGGTTAAAGGTTAAACTGTTTGCACTACAAACCATTGTGTTCATAATTAAGATAATACATTAAAATAATATGGTAAGACACACCAGTGTAATATCAAGCAGCAAAACGAGCTGTTTTGTACAGCTAAAAATAGCTGGAAGCGGATGAGACCGGAAGCCTCACACATGAAATGTCCCGCTCTTACGGGAAAAATAAGGTGGATAGAGAGAGAGAAAACCAGAGAGAATTACATTTTTTTAATTTTAAGTTTTGTTTTAAACAGACATCTACAACTTCAGCCACCCTGGTATCTTTGATAAAATACATACAAAAAGATATATAACTCATTAAAAATACAAAAGACAGAAAGGAATTTTCATCACAGTCATACAGTTATGTCCACATTTGCTTTTTATTTAAAATTAGCGATCTATGACTTACAATTCCTCTCATTGCTTTTCATTGTGTAGTTATATGGAATGTGTCACATTATGATTGGTTCTCACTATGACTGATCACATGACCTCATGGAGATGGCCCTCACACGGCCAGCGTGCCCGTTCTCTTCTCAACATGCACCTGAGGAGAAAGTGACAACCATAATGGAGACTCAATAAGAAACCCAGCACCAACATGTTGACAAGTACTGCAAAAACTATTCACTAATCATCTCAACAGAAGAAGAGGAATGAACCACACAGTCTCTTCTGTCTCATACAACGCTTTCATTTATTTCAAACAGCCAAGCATAATTCCTAATTGGCCTTGTATAATGAGCTGTGAGCGTGAGCAGGAAGCGGGCTGAGCGGTCAGCACGTGGGTGTTCTTAGACAAATGCTCAGAGGGAGAGTCTGAATTACTAACTTGCACTAATAACAAAACAACAGCATGGTTGTATTAACTGAGCCGAAAGCGGCGGCGCTTTGCGGAGCATCGCTCCATTTGCAATAATCTCCAACGAATGTCAGCATTCGGCGATTCGCTGTCTGTTGCTGACGTGCCTCTAGCAGCAATCTGGATGAGCATCTGTGGGTGCCTAGTCTAGCGTGATGTGCAGCCATGGCTACCAGCTGCTGTGCTACTTGTGTGCTCGACTCCCTCTCTCTCTATGGATGCAGGTCACATTTCACTCCAAAATCCAAAGAAGTAATTGTATTAAGCATAAATAAAATAAAGCCTATTTTATCACCATTTTGAAATGACAATTTATTCACATATTCCCCAAAAATTCTCATTACCACAATGCATCCAGATATTTTTTAACTTTTTCATTATTCTGAGTGGTGATAACGATTAGACAGTCATCATGTTTTGTGCAGATTTTCTCCACTGGCTTTAGGACAGAGTGTGGAGATGACAAGTAATCTAAGGCAAAAGTAAGTGCTCAATACATGAAACGGGATAGATTTGAACCTGCATCTGCTCAGCATTTCTGATCCAAGGGCACACACCCCCGGAGCAGTGGGCAGCAGTTGGGGGTTTGGTGTCTCGCTCAAGGGTCTCACCTCAGTCGTGGCGATTCATTCCCCCCCACGACAATTCCTGCCGGACCTGAGACTGGAACCCGCAACTTTCGGGTTACAAGTCCGACTCTCTAACCATTAGGCCACGACTTAAATATAAAATATTTTACAGTAATGGAAACAATATTTTTTTGCATTACAGTAATGAGACTGTTGGTGAAGCTGCAATCCTTGAAGCAGTTAAAGCACTTCAAAGGGGACATAACACACACAGTTTCTGCCAATCTCATGTTAATCTTGAGTACCTGTTTTTCATCCTTCATGTCTCCAAAGAGTCTTTAGTTTGATCAGATTTATAAAAGAAAGACAGCTGTACCGCTTCTCTCCGAAAACAGTTGAGCTCCTGGAGGCATGCCGTGGGTGGAGCTAAAGAGTCACGAGCATGCAAAGCTTTTGCGTAGCAATTGCCTGCAAGCTGTGACATCGACATAATTCCCTTAATGCTGGGTTCTTTGGGAAGCTCAACAAGGTTATCTTGCCCTCACAACCAAAAACACACTTTTTTGGTGACATTGATTTTGTGGTCAAAAACAAAATGACAAATCCTTCTCGAGCAAGTCCTGTGCAGCGCTGCAGACAACTTCCATAACTCGAATGAAGCACGTTGATGCAGGGGCGTAGCCATCACTTCAGAAGTGAGGGGGACAGAAATGTTATATATATATATATATATAA